TTCGCGCAGGAGGAGACGGGGGGGGGGCGGTGAAAATGAATTCAGACGTGGATTATTTTCGAGAACGGTACAACGAATAGTCTTCTTTCTCTAATGATTTAATGAATCGTAAAAGCTTCCGCGCTTCGCGCGGGAGGGGGAAATTTGAATTCAGACAAGGATTAAGAGTCGAGAAATGTACAACGAATCGTCTAGTTTCTCAAATGATTTTATGAAACGTAAAAGCTTCCGCGTTTCGCGCGGGAGGGGGAAAACTGAATTCAGACGAGGATTAAGAGTCGAGAAATGTACAACGAATCGTCTTCTTTCTCTAATGATTTAATGAATCGTAAAGACTTCCGCGCTTCGCGCGGGAGGGGGAAAACTGAATTCAGACGTGGATTAAGAATCGAGAAATGTACAACGAATCGTCTTGTTTCTCAAATGATTTTATGAAACGTAAAAGCTTCCGCGTTTCGCGCGGGAGGGGGGAACCTGTATTCAGACGAGGATTAAGAGTCGAGAACTGTACAACAAATCGTCTTCTTTCTCTAATGATTTAATGAATCGTAAACGCTTCCGCGCTTCGCGCTGGAGGGGCCGGGGGGGGGCGGTGAAAATGAATTCAGACGAGGATTATTTTCGAGAACGGTACAACGAATAGTCTTCTTTCTCTAATGATTTAATGAATCGTAAAAGCTTCCGCGCTTCGCGCGGGAGGGGGAAATTTGAATTCAGACAAGGATTAAGAGTCGAGAAATGTACAACGAATCGTCTTGTTTCTCTAATGATTTAATGAAACGTAAAAGCTTCCGCGCTTCGCGCGGGAGGGGGGGAACCTGTATTCAGACGAGGATTAAGAGTCGAGAACTGTACAACGAATCGTCTTGTTTCTCTAATTATTTAATGAAACGTAAAAGTTTCCAAGCTTCGCGCGGGAGGGGTGAACCTGAATTCAGACGAGGATTATTTTCGAGAACGGTACTATGAATCGTCTTCTTTCTCTAATAATTTAATTAAACGTCAAAGCTATCGCGTTTCGAGGAGGAGGGAGGGGGAAACTCGCCCCTCCCTGCACCCACCCCCCCCGCATTACGTCACTGCTGGTCACCATTACGTTCCAATTTTTGGCTCGCATAATTTCAAATTTGAGCCCCCCCCCCCCCCCCTAAGAAATCCTGGATCCGCGCCTGCGTTATTATACATGTTTATTTGAATTTTAACAATGCGTCATGTTCTTGCTTTTATAGGATAATAGATAGATGCCATCGTTGGTGAAGCGTTGCTTATGATAGGGGTCTCCTGCACTTTTCCGCAGTTAACACAATATTTTAAATTCATAGTAATATATTATAGATATTGTGTTCGTTATTACACTGTTGCCCATAAAGTTGGATTTTTTTTAAAACCCAATTTATGGAATTATTTTGACAATGATTTATTCCTAATATATCTAGACAGTAGTATACATTCTCAGATTTTATTGAATAATAAGTTGCCAGTGTTTGTTTTGCGTGACTGCTAAAGCATATGTATGCTACAATGGTTATCAACTAGGGGACCTACGCCCTTAAGTCATAAATGACAGTAATGAGGATTAATGCCCCACAAAAGGGCACTAATAATATAGCACATCGACACGGTTTTGATCATGGGGCCTCACAGTCCCCTATTTTTGCTTCAAAAGAGAGCGATTCGCATAATTACTAACTCAAGTTATATATCACACACGGAACCTTTATTTCATCGTTTAAAAACATTAAAAATACAAGATATTCACATTTTTCAGACAAGCATTTTCATGTATAAATATTCTCATAATCTACTACCATCCTTATTTCACAATATTTACAGTTTAAACTCAAACATTCACACATACCCCACCCGTTCTGCAACAAATTATTACTTAGAAAATCCTAAAATAATTTTAACCCAAAAGTCAGTAAGCCATCATGGATCAGATGTTTGTAACTCCTTACCAAATTCAATAAGGCATTGTTCATCTCTTTATTTTTTAAAAGCATCTCTTTAAAAAATCTCTTATATCGAAGTACCTAAATAATTGATTTCAACATGCAGAAGGCAATTATCATACATATCTCAAATATTGGTCACATTAATTGCAACTCATGTTTGCAAATTTCGTATTCTATTTCGTATTCTTGGTTTCCTTTATTGAAAGGGCTACATTTTGTTTCCACTCCACCATCCAACAGAGAGTTACGTGCACATTCTCTATTCGCTACACATACCAACACGCACACACACAATACACACTCGCACAGCACACTCACAAACTCATACACAAAGAACGTCAAAAAACACTTTTGTTTGTTTTAAATTATGTGTTTATTAAGAAATCAAATTATAACATATACAAACTTTCCCCCAAAATACAAAGCTGTGTTACAAAAGAAATTAATGACAAATTAAGATATTTACAAACGATTGAGATGATCTGGGAAAAAAAGAAGAAAAAAAGAAAGAAAAAAAAGGCAGACTACATGTAATAGAAATAATCAGAATTATAACAATTACAAGTACAAAAGCAAGAACCTCGAGCCTGATGGCATTGCATCAGAAACTGAAAATTTCGTTGGGCCCAAAATGAAGAAAAAGGAGTAAAAATAAGCCATCCACAGGTACAATGGAAACTCCAGACCACCAACAGGTTGGAGGAGCAAAGTCGAGGAATGAGACAATCCGCTCTACCCCCCCCCCCCCCACACACACACACACCCTCAACACTCTTATACTAACACTCAAACACATAACCGCCCCCCCCCCCCCAACACACACAATCCACGCGCAACATGCGGGTAAGACAGATCGCCTCACACCCCGACCCCGCCCACTCCAGACACCCAGTCGGCGATTTGCGCAGACATCTAGCGTGGGGAAATCAACTGAAGTGATAAAATACAACGCATTCCTGAAAAGGCAATAACGAAACACGCGTAAACTGACCCAGTTCCAATCGAGGTTATTGCTCATGTATGTTTAAAAACTTTTTCATTTTAAGTTTTACCTCAAGATTTTTTTTTTTCTTTTTGAGGCCGCCATCCTCATAGGCGCCGGAAGTGGGGGGGCAGGGGGGGCAGCTGCCCCCCCAATCAAAAAAGTGGGGGGCAAAACGCATTTTTGCCCCCCCAAAACGCCCCCCCCCCTCCAAAAAAAAAAAAAAAAAGCAGTAAAGGAGTAAAGATGGTTTGTATTTTTAACCCAAAAGAACATAACAATAATAAAACCTGAATTAAATGACGTATGAAATTCCATTCAAAGAAAAGGAAAGTTAACAGGAATTAAATTTCCTAAACATTGCGCATGCTACCTATATTTATCAATGGAGGTTTTTATAATAGCGATACGCGCATATCGTAGACATATTGCGAGAGAATGGGAAAGCGTGTCTGTTTTTTGTTATAGGGGTGAGAAGCTTATGAGCCCCTGAACGCTGGCGTACTGAGGGGGGGGGGGGGGGTATTTTTTTTATTCGATACCAGTGATTTACAAATGTTGCTGAAATGACATGATTTTCCGGTATATTTTCTCTTTTTTTTGTAAGTCATACCTTTTTATGCGTTTGTTGGAAAATTAGAAATTCCCAAATTTACAGTCGGGCGAAAAATATGCTTATTTAGAAGCATTTATGTTAGGGTCTGCAGAACGGCCGGGCTCGGGGACTCGTGCCACCCTCAATTGTTGAAAAAGTTTGTTACAGAGAAAAAGAAAGAAAGAGAGAGAGAAAAAATAAGTGACCTTCTAATGTCACAAATGAGGTATCAAAATATGCTCATCTGACCGTAATTAAATACCTAAAACCCCTGATCTTCCGGAAGCTCTGCCCCCTGGACCCTAACAAGGGCCCTAAGGCGGGGTCCTGGATGCTCATCTGACCGTAATTAAATGTCTAAAACCCCAGAGCTTACGGGGGCTCAACCCCCAGACCCCACCAAGGGCCCTAGGACGGTCCCTTGTATGCTCATCTGACCGTAATTACATACCTAAAACCCCGAGCTTCCGGGGGCTCTGCCCCCTTGAATCCCACCAAGGGCCGTAAGGCGGGGCCCTGGATGCTCATCTGACCGTAATTAAATGCCTAAAACCCCAGAGCTTACAGGGGGCTCTGCCCCCGGACCCACCAAGGGCCCTAAGGCGGTCCGCTGTATGCTCATCTGACCGTTATCAAATACCTAACAAAACCCGAGCTTCCGGGGGCTCTGCCCCCTGGACCCCACCAAGGGCCCTAAGGCGGGGCCCTGGATGCTCATCTGACCGTAATTAAAGGTCTAAAACCCCAGAGCTTACGGGGGCTCCGCCCCCAGACCCCACCAAGGGCCCTAAGGCGGTCCCCTGTATGCTTATCTGACCGTTATTAAATACCTAAAACCCCCGAGCTTCCGGGGGCTCTGCTCCCTGGACTCTCCGCCAATTAGTGGCCTGCCAGTGCCACAAATAAGGTATCTAAATATGCTTATCTGACCATAATTTGAATGCCTAAAACCCCTAAACTTCTGGGGGCTCAGCCCCTGGACCCCACGCCATTTTACGCTCTACCTGATTGTTAATAATCCACTTTGAAAAACGTTCCGCGGGGCCTGCCCTGCATGTAACGTGTAAGAGTGATGGTGATGCAGATTTCTCTTCTGCCCCCCCCCCCTTTCAAACGTTTTTGCTCGTTACGTCACTGCCCCTGGAAGGTGAGCCCCTGGAATGTTTGCCCCCCCAATCCCAAACTGCTTCCGGCACGCCTGGCCATCCTAGTCAAGCTTCTCTTATGATTGCGGTCTCCTGCACTTTTTCATCTGATAGTTTGGATAATACTTTAATTTTATAATAATATGTTATAGAAATATTAAGTTTTCGTTATTATATGTAGATCTTTATGTAAAAAAAAAAAAAAATATTCTCGGGGGGTAATTGTCCTCGGGGGTAGTTTTCCGGGGGGAGGGGGTGATTGCCCAGGGGACAATTGTCCTGATACGGAAATTACCCCAGTGTAGATGTACATTTTTCTCCCTTTATCGCGCGTACACGTACACTGGTCTTCAAGCGAAAGTGGGGGAATTCCCTTTCTTCTTCGGTCGGATATTTAGGGCGGTGTGATCGCGAGGTCACGTCAACAGCCCTGATAACCGTTGCGTGTATTGTATGCAAATGATCTTTGACCACGATATCAGCTGTTACGTCGGCCTGGTGTTGTACTACCATTAATATAAGTAGGCCTACTCATTCACAGTTGCTAGTTGCTTCTCCTGTAGCATGCATGTTGACTGAACACCTTAGGTTGTTTTGTTCATGTACTATAGGCTTTTAATCTAGGAATCCGAAAGGGACAGACAGAGGTAAGCAATTTGCATGCAACCAGTCGTTTATGTGTGTGATGTACGTCGCTATTTGATCGACATTATTTTCTCCGCTTTCAACTTCAAGTCATATACTCAGTCAAATAGTCTCACTCATGCAGTGCAGTGACCTAGTGGCAGGCATGATCGAAAAAGATGGCCAACAAAGCCAAGCACAGATCTTGCTTGATCTTGTCGAGAAAGGCCGAGCTGAGACTTTATCACTTGCCCGAAATATTTTGGTAGCTTATATAAATGTCTTTGATCAGTTTAGAAAATTGTTCTTAATTAGACCAAATATCAACATTATTGAAATATGAATTATCAGCTAGGCCTACCGAAACATCAAATGATTGAGCAACTATTCTATTTGTGCACCTTAATCTGAATTTCTATACAGTTTGTATGAATCTGAATTGTTTTGATGCAATGTTGAACAAATAAACTTCACCTTTAACTTTAATAGTATATGATAACATATATAATATTATAATGTTTAATGTATGATATATCATATATCATATTATTATGATATATAATATGTGATATAATTATGATATATAATATGTGGTATTATTATGATATATAATATGTAATATATGAAATATGATATATGTAATATTCAATTAATGTATACCGGGTATAATGTATGATATTAAAATATACAATATGCAATGTAATGTATGTAAGATATAATATGTGACCATAAATAAGTGTTGCAGTGAGGGATTTATTCTGAAGTTTACATTCCAATTTTTGTTTTTCAGAAAATGTTTAAGTTGAAGTTTTTGTGGCAGTTCTTGGGGCTGTTCTCACCATGCTTTGTGTCTGTCCTCCCAACTCCTGATGTGACGAGTATTTGTGGTAAGCTTCTATTACATTTTGAAACTCATAGCTAGCCTGCCATAAGGCTGCATGCATGCTATCGTTATAGTGCTGTTTATATGCGAGAGAGCCATCGCTTGAGTGCCATGTGCGTGCAATGCAGCATTCGTAATAGCAGTTATTGTTAATGCTCATTGGACTGTGCTGTGTATTTTACACTCGCTATTCATAGAATCATCGCGTTAATCAGATTATCTCCAAAACAACCTGGCACGGGGGATTTGGGGCTTGGCACAATGGGGATAAGCCCTGTGACATGATAAGAATAAGACACGTCAGATCGAGGCCCATTGACCACTGAATTCTCTAATTCGGTAATTCCCCAAGGCTGGCAACGTAAACCACCGCCATGGGTTAATTGAACAATTATTTAATAATGCGTCTTTGAGTTTTTAGTTAGTTCTTGAATCACGTATTGTAACTAAACAAACAAGATCTTAGGAAAGTCCTCATTTATTAATTATTAATGCTTCATGCTTCACATGGAAAGTATACTTTATTGATATTAAATTGGGAGAATATGAATGATATTCGTGGGTGAATAATCAACGTACTTAAAATAAAAGGCAGGTAGTTTGGCCGAGATAATGATTCAATTTATATTTTGAACCTAGTGTTTGTTCAGCATAATCATATCATTATCATCATCACCATCAAGTCATCATAATCATCATCATCATCATCACCATAACCACTACCACCATAAGAATCATCACCATTACTATCATCAACATCATCATCATCTTCTTTATCATCAATATCATCATCATCATCATCATCATCTTTATCATCAATATCATCATCATCATCATCATCATCTTTATCATCAATATCATCATCATCATCATCATCATCTTTATCATCAATATCATCATCATCATCATAATTTCCATCATAATCATAACATTTATAAGTATTCATTATCACCATCAATCATCATCATCACCATCATTATCATCATCACCACCACCATGACCACGGCCACCACCCACTCTGTCACCGTTTTTCACTACCACCATCTTCATATTGAATTTTCCTGCTGGGTAAAGAACAGTGCTTTAGCATATTATCAGGAAACAGTAGCCCTATCAGCGATGGTCTTTAGAGGGAGACACAAGAAGAATAAAAGACAGAAATAAAGTGTGGAGAGACCATTGAGAGACTAGATGTTGTTGTTGCTGAGAGGTCCATCCTTCCCAGGGGCCCCACTCACAAGCATAGCTTTTTGGGGTCTCAATTTGGATCATGTTTGTTCGTCATGATTGCTATGTCTGGTGTTTTTTTTAATAAACTGAAAAACTGAACTAAAATCTTTAGTAACATAGTCCATGTCAAAGTAGAACCAAACAAAATTGCAATTCATGAACTCAGAATCACTCAGATCACAAGTGGCCCAAATCTTTTGCTCCATGTTCTAATTAACTCAGGTCCAGAGACCAACCAGACCCTAGCCCAGAGGATCCAGTCCTCACAGTGGAAGGCTTCAGACTGGCTCCTGGACCAACAGACAGAGGACTGGGGATGGGACTTTCTAAGCACCGGGTCGGCCATCTTGTCTCTTCAGCTTGCCAACGAGACGTGGAAGAATGACCTAGAATCAATGGAGGCTCAGCTCACCATCAAACAACTCAATATTGAGGTGCTGCGTGAAATATCACACAGGTATGAAGAATACCGTAGATGAAGGAGACAAAACCCTGCCCCCCCCCCCCGACTCAGTGTTATTTAGGGTACACATATGCGTGTTCCCTCCTTTTGAAAACACCCCCTAAGTCCGGTGTGTAAAGTCAATTTTGTGTATGTACGAGCCAGACTTTGGTGCGTGAAAAGTACCCCTTTACCGGACATTTTAGTAACAAGCATGCGGTCAAACCAAAGGCTATCTAAGCAGGAAACTATGGGTAAATCTTGGAGTGATTTCAACCAGGATGTATCAGAGCCCACTTCCTGACAGATAACAACCAATAATCATGTTTGTTTTTTTCCCTTTGAGGGTATAACAGATTTCTACTCATTTCTGAAACTTCCTTTTCTTTCAATCATAAGATTGCAAAATATTATTCTTGATCGTAGCAATAAAAGTTTTATTCCTCCTTCACTATTTTTCCACAGTATATCTGGTTTGAAATTTGTTAGGGTCTGTGTACATAAAGCTGTGTATAAATTTAATATTTTGGGTTGCTCCAGAGGTGAAATTAGGTGACCCCACTGCTCCCATTCCCCTGTTACTGTCGAGCCCTGCCAAAGTACAGTAGTGCTGTACAGATAATTGAACCCATGACCTTGGCATCCCCAGGCTAGTGTCCAAATTCTGACACATCCTTTTCTTTCAATACAATCATAAGATTGCTGTATATTATTCTTGATCGTAGTGATAAAAGTTTTATTCCTCGGTTTGAAATTATTAGGGTCTGTGTGCATAAATCTGTGTTTAAATTTAATATTTTGGGTTGCTCCAGAGTTGAAATTAGATGACCCCACTGCACCCATGCCCCAGTTACTGTCAAGCCCTGCCAGAGGACAGTAGTGCTGTGCAGAGATTTGAACCCATGACCTTGGCATCTCCAGGCAAGTGTCCAAACCACTTTATTACAACATCGATCTGGCTGCCGGGCTCACGATCAATTGGGCAAAAAGATTTTCCGTTTCGGTTTAATAACAATTTTGGAGTGGACTATTAGTTATTGTTATTATTGTTATTATCTGTATTACTCTTGCTTTGAACAGACACAGCTTTAAGGAGATGTCCGTAGGTAAGCTAGGCTACTACGCCATGGCTCTCCATGCCTCCTGCCACAATGCCTCCAACTTCCATGGACACAACATCATGAAACACCTGCACCACAGGGTCGACGACTTTGACACCAATCAGACCAAAAATTACTTCCCGTACTCCTTGGCTTTGCTTGCCTTGTGTAGCAGCGGTAGTGAAGTGCCTCATAGCGCCATAGCAACGCTTGAGGAAGTCCAAGGGGATGATGGATGTTTTCCGTTCGGCGTCGGTAAGGGGAATTTTAGTATTTCGAAGACGATTTTGTTTAAAGCCCCTCTGCACTCTTTTGGCATGGAGGGATTAGACCTCCCTGCAAGGTCACTGGCAGGTGGTTATTTCATCAAATCAGCTCTCAATTAGCATAAGCAAAAGGGCATCATGGGGGATCAACGGGTACCACTCAGGCATTGTTGGCTGTATAGAGGGCGCAAGGAGCTATAAGTAGTGCAGTGGAGCTTTAAGGATTACTTTACAAGTGCTTTTTGGGCAGACAGGATTCCCAGCAAGAAATTATTCAGCTCAAGTGATCCAGATTAGCCTGGCAGCATCCAAGGGGGATTGGTGTATAAAGACCAAATGGTTCTTGCAAGTTGACCAGTTATTAACCCTTGTTGATATCCTGGTCGGGGGGGGGGGGGGTGTCTCATTAAAGCCTGTATGTTATCCGCATACACCAAAAAAACGGATAGTTTGTTCTTTGCCAGGCCCGTATCGCACTAAGGGTATCAAAAACAGGAAACATCTGGGTAAAAGGCATCACATTAACTGTGCTGGTGATAAGAAGAAACGCGGACAGGGTAGGGAGCAGAGGGTCCTACGGGATTTTAAAAATGAAAGATAAATGCAGTGCTGTACAGGAACCTGCAGTTTTTGTTGTGTGGTAAGAAAATGTAAATTAACGTAATAAACATGTTTATTCAGATTTGATTAATGAGGTCTTTTTCATCATTAATAAGGTCTTTTTCATCATTAATGAATAGATTTAATAGGTCTCTTCAATGAACGGTATCTGTATAGTTCAGTATACATTTTATGTGTTGATATATCTGTCCGGTGTTTTTCATCTGCTTCAGCCATATCTCTTGTCTTTATATTCCATTTGTCTTGAATAATCTTATTCTGATTTGCTTTCTGTCTTCATATTTCTCTCCCTCTCTTGCTCTCTCTCTCTCTACCCCTCCTCATTTTTTGTTCTCTCTCTCTCTATGACTCTCCCTCATATTTCTTTGACTCAACCCGTTTTCTTTCTATCCCTCTCTTCCTCTCTCGCTACCTCTCCTCATTACTCTCTCTCTCTCTTACCTCTCCTCATTTCTCTCTCCCCCTCCCCATTTCTCTCTCTCTCTCTCTCTCTCTTTCCCTCATACTTCATTGACTGCATCATTATTAGACGTGACATCCATGGCAGTCATGGCTATGGCATGCATGCAGGACTCCTTCAACAGCCTTCAAAGACTCAACCCCCTCAGAGAAATGATGCGCAAAGGGTCAGAATGCATTATGGGACATCAGACATCAGACGGATGGTTCGGTGAATCAAATGTTATAAGCACAGCATTAGCAGCACAGGTATTCACTCTTTTTTTTTTAGTAGATTAAAGGTACTATGTCCCTTTTGCAGACCAAAAAAATGAAAAGGTTAAATTCCAATGGCATTTGAAAGATAATACTAATTTAGAACTCCCCTTAAAAAAATGGTGCTTGAAAATGACTTTAAGTGGGAAAATAACGACTATCAGTTGTCAAATCGACTTAGGAGCTATAGAGCCAATAAGTAATAGTCTTGATTTTCAGTCCATTGTACCGCATGGTCGTACATTTTATGCTGCGCAAAGATTCAATCAGTTTAATTTTGGCCATTACAAGAAGTGGGTTATTGATGTAGATTAATCCTTTACAGCTCATTTCATGTATGTTATTACCAAAGAAGAAGAAAAAGCCAGTCAGTCACTCAATACTGACAATAGTGTCTGACAGTGAAGTCTAGCAAGTAAACGGGTTTCCTTGCATAATTTGAATATTAGGACACTGCTAACGTTTAAATTTCACTGATAGGACATACATAACATATTCATAATTCCTGCAAATTTCTACAGACTTTGAGGTTGGCTGCAAAACAAAAATGAAAAAAGGGACATGTATTTTATGTATGTACGCTGTTATACATACCATTATTTGTACTCTTCATCCTACTAAAATGCCTTGTATAACATACCAGTTATAAATAAAACTGTTGTTTTCATTGTAAAAATATGTATAATAATAACATTAATAGTGGGTTATTGTATAGCACTGTGAAACCTAACACTCCTGGCACTCCATAATCATTCTGGGGTCCCAAACCTATCATTCTTGTGTTCCTTGCTGTTATATCTTGTACCATTGTTTATGTTTGTTTTGGTTTGAATAAACTAGAACTTGAACTTGAACTTATTATCCCGGCTTTAGCATGGCTGCCGTTATGGCACTCTTCAGCAAATGAATTCCTACCAGCAGGCCGTACGCAGGATTTTTTCAAGGGGGGATTTAACATTTTTAATTCGGGGGGGGGGGGGGGGGGGGGGAGGGGTAAGAGGGCACTTTTTTTTTTTTGGTCTTCAAAAAATCGCAACGACTCAGCCGGTCGCTGAATAAGGGGGGGGGGGGGGGGGGGGGGGTAAGAGGACACTTTTTTTTCTTTTTTTTGGTCCCCAAAAAATCGCAACGACTCAGCCGGCCGCTGAATAAGCGGGGGGATAAGGGGACACTTTTTTTTTTTTTTTTTTGGTCTCGAAATTTGAAAATTTGACATTTTGCTCCGTTGGGAGGGGGGGGGGGGGTAAGGTCACCTTTTTTAGTCGGCCATGGGAATAATTTTTTATTTATTTTTAATTTTTTTATTATTATTAATTTTTAAAAAAAAAAAACGAAGGTGGGGGGGGGGGGGGGTGGGTTTTAGGGGGGTATATACACATAACAAATCTAAAGGGGGGGGGGGGTTTAACCCTACCAGGTACCCATTCACCTCACCTTTATTGTTGAGTGTGGCAAATATAGATTAGTGTCTTAATAATTCCAAAGGAAGGTTTGTTTGAGTGATTGCTGGTTTTACCAATACCCCCGTTCATTATTCATCTAGTGGGGCGTTGCAAGAAATGTGCAAGAAATTGCAAATCACCCAAATCCAACTCAACTTGCTTGCAACGCCCGTTTAGTAAGAAAGAGAGAGAGAGAGAGAGAGAGAGAGAGAGGGGGAGAATAAAAGCTAGGTCTAGTTAATTTGATTTAATTGTTAAAACATTAATCCCAACAAAATCCTAGGAAATTTAGGAGACAAGTGGCGCGTTGCAAGATGTTGAGTTGCAATCGATTTCAAATATCAGTTGCAAATTCGGCAACTTGCAATCAATAGCAACTTTTGTACAACGTCCCATAGGTGATTACATCAAAAGTTTCCTCACTGCTGCCTTTTTTTCTATTCAAAGGCTCTGATTGCTGCCGGTGTATCTCCGTCGCTATGGCGATGTGAGGACGCCCTCTACCACATCCTGGATGCCCAGGAGGAGGACGGCCATTTCGGTAGCCAAGGGGGCACTATCCAGATCCTTCCATTGCTTAGCAACCGTCACCATGGAAGCCTGGCTGATATCCAGCAGGATTGCCCAGTAAAAGGTTTGTTTTCAGTGTATACCCCCAAATTAATTGGAAATCGTAACAATTTTCTTATAACGTATTATAGGTTCGAACTTAATGAGCATGAGTGGAAAAAGTAATTTCATACCAAGGCCATCAAAGAACTTCACTGAGTCACCTGACTCTAGTTGAAACATTTTTGGGTCATTGGTTCTCTTTTTAATAACGTACCTACCCTGGTTGTTTGTTACATGCAAATTTCTTTGTTGTTTTTCTCTATATTTTTATGGTATTTCTAAGAAATCTAGACTATTTTCCTCTATTTTCTGAAGGAAAAAGAGGAGAGAAGTAGCTCCAAAAACATATATTTACGCCAAGGATTTGGAACAAAAGATGGATGAAACATATATTCAAAGTTGAAAACAGTCAAAATCATATTTTCTGTGCTGTTTTCGACTAATTCTTGACTATTTTATTTTGACTAGGGTAGTGATCATTATCTTTTCTTTCACAGATGTGATGCACGGCATACCACTGATTGGACGACAGGATGAGACGCATGCCGTCAATTTTGAGATCAGTCAGGAATTGGAGAATAGTGTAGCTATTTTCAGCCCATTCCTTGTAGACATCCTGCCAGGAGAGAGCGTCTACAGGGCCATGGAACGAGCTCGTCAAATTGGCTACTTCAGGTTAGTGTGTTTTGTCTTTCTTAGCTAGTTGAGAGGTATATACTAGTAGCTACATCTCTGGAAGTTATACTCCTGAATGGTCAGTTGTTTTTGGAAGCCTCACAATTTCCTTTGTTATTTTGGTTCTGCATTGTCTTTGGCTCCGTGGCAATAAGCCAGTTTGTAGATACAATCTCTGCATGGGCAGATTAAAGAGAAGGTTGAGGTCTGGGAAGAGGTGAAAAATAATCTGTGAGCGTTATCATTGTAGTATGCAAGTGTGGAAGAACATCAGATCTTGTAGATATTTTGGGGGCCATTTGTACCAAAGCTTACGTACTACGAACTGGTCTATTGGCAAAATATGTTTCATCTCCTAAATTTAGGTGAATAGATTTTCTGACTAAAATCATCAGTATTAAAATAGCAATTTTGACTAAAAACAAGAGATAAGATTTCATATTTATAATTTCATTCCACTGTGATAAAGTCTCATATGTGATATTTGTGTGTAAAATTGATGAGGATTTTACAGTCTTACTATAATTTGAGTATTTCTGCCACTGTATTGGTAATTTCACTCTTTTCACTGGCAGCGCCCTTTGAATATCTGATCATGTTCATTAAAAACTATCAATGTTGCTTCCATTCAAAGATCATCATGATGGTTTTCTGTATTTTTTCTCCTCCAGTTTTGAATCTAAATTGTCTCAGTTTGGAAACTACATTACTTCAATCAACAATGTAGTGAACGATAATGCCAATGGTCTCTATTGGTTCATCTATTCAGTAGATGAGAATGGTGATCAATTCATGGCTGAGACTGGTAAGAAACTGATATATTTCTTAATTTGTTTGAAGATTCTTTCAATTTCAGTTAATTAAGTCATTGATTTTGTTTCAGAACATTATCTTATGCCATGTTTTTTTTTATTGTTTATAAATGTAATGCTTCCTGGGAGAAATTTTAATTGTTTAAACATATTTGTCATGTGTATTGTAAATAATCAGAGTTGTATATCTCTCATCTCAATTAGTTATTTATCTTGTGCAAAATCTACCTATCTCAGAGGCAATGTGATTTTTACCTGAATCTCTCCTCTCTCCCCTCTCCTCCCCTCTCCTCCCCTCTCCTCCCCTTTATCTTCTCTCATTTTCCCTCTCTCATCTCTCCTCTTTGACCTCTCTTCTGTCTCCTCTCTCCCATCTCCTCTCACCCATCATCTTTCTCCTGTTTCCTATCTTCTCTCTCATCTCTACTTTCTCCTCTATCCTTTCTCCTTCCTTCTCTCTACTCTCTTTCCTCTTGACTCTCCTCTCTCATATCCCTCCATTACTCTCTCTCCTCTCTCCTTCCCTCTCTCCTCTCTCCTTCCCTCCTCCCTCTCTCCTCTCTCACTCCCCTTACCTTTTTCTCTGTTCTCTTTCCTCTCTGTCCTCTTTCCTCTCTCCTCCCTCCTCTTTCTCTCCTCTCTTATCTCTCTTTTCCCTCTCTCCTTTCTCATTATCCCCCCTTTCTCCTCTCTACGCTCTCCCTCCCTCCCCTCTCCTCCCCTCTCCTCTCTCCTCTCCTCCCTCTCTCCTCCCTACTCTCTCCTCTCTCCTCTCTCCTCTCCCCTCCCCCTCCTATCTCTTCTCATCTTCTCTTGTAGGTGCTGAAGGAATCATGCCAGTGAATGGCTCTACCTATCGTTGGATCTATCGTGCGTATTAAAGCTGTGAAATAGACCAGCCCCTACTTGAGGATACCCACCGAGCGAATGGTGTATTGCATGTCTGATTGTTGTTGAATTGTTTTCCTCTTCGTAAAGAAAGCTTGAAGGATACACACATGGGTGATTCCTTGAAATGTATCCTTTACAACACATATCTTTGGTCTATTCATTTTATCCACAAAAAAATATTTATCACGCTATAGCTACTGACCAGTGGGTACTTATGATATCGGTAACATTAGCCAAATGCATCAAGAGATTTTTAAATTTTTGGATGATATGAATGAACAATGTCATAAGGACACATTCCATTGAATTGCCAAGTTGGTGCATGCATGAATAGTGATGAACTGGGGGGCGTTTCACAAAACTTGTCATCAGTGACAAATGACAGTTTTTGTTATAAGCTACTAAAAAAACCTTGCTTCTGATTGGTTATCAGCAGACTTGTCACTCATTTTCTGTCATTTGTCATCGAAAAAAAGCTTTGTGAAACGGGTCCTTAATGATCATTTGATCATACAAAATTAGTATACAAGGTAAATTACCTCTAATTGCTTATATAGCAGCTCTATAGTAATCACTTAAGAAATACATGTATACCATGCAGGAGAAGTCTAGAGCTTAAGCTGTCCATTTATATTGTATATAATTGGCATATTTCTTAATTTTGTAATAAAAAGGCGTTATATAACCTCATGTCAGCATTATTAGATGAAAAAACACATTTGTGGTTCAGAGACATAGAGGTACCGGTAGGAGTAAATCTCCACAATGCAAGGTATTTTATCAAGTGTATAGAGAACAAATGCAGTGTATCTTAAAGCAGGGTTCTGAGGGCATTACAGAAAAACTATCCAAGTTAATAGACTGTAAATCTTGACTCGAGTCTTGAGTCTTGTTTATCGTAACAGTATGTAAATCATGCATGCCTTCAATAATGGAAGTGAAATTGAATAGAGTGGTGAAGTGTGACGTCAAAAATAATGTCCAAATGTCGAAAACCAATTGAATATGTTAAATATTGGCTGATGACCATCTGAATAATTAGCTTTCCTATAGGAACTCAGTGTTATTTTGCTCTGGTTCATTTGGTCATTATTTTGCATGCTCTTTCAGAAAATGAAGTTCAAATTGAGAAATTCTAAAAATATATTTTTATGATGTCACAGCTTCGTAACACTATACACGCATGCTATTAAGCAACACTGGAAAATGAAAAAGGCTCTGCCATATATCTTTACTCTCACTGTGACTTTACTTACTGCAAAACATTTCATTAATGCTCTATTAATCTGCAAAATATTTTCATTCACTGATTACACCATGCACACTTAAATTTATTTTTTTTTCATCCAGGATTCCTCAATGCAATAAGATGTGTCCTAACTTAAACTGACTTTGAATTAATTCTGATGCCTTTGATTCTTGTCTATTCATAAATTAAAAAGGTGCAATCAATAAGTCCTTGCCAGGAACCTACTAATTTTATTTCGCAGAATATTAATTAAGTTCTTTTTTAAATCGTTCTTTGGCCTGCTAATTGGACATATGTGGATATTTTTAAATGAAAAGAATTAATACTAGATATGCTTTTAGCTTCTAGGCTGATGAAGTTTTAATTGTATCATCTATGAATATAATGATCTTAAATGTACACATAATTTCCCTGTTTTGTTGATTAATGATTATGTGTATAACAGCCAAGATGTAATATTTTGATTTGCATAATTACATGTAAATCTCACACATCAATTTGAACACATAGCTGATAAAAAATACAATTTTTTTTTGTTTCAAGGCCTAGAGGGGAAATTAATACATATTTTACATCATCACCAAGAAATTCAGTTGTATTATTGCCATATGTGTAATATATTATATTATTTGGTATATTTCAATCAAAGTAATATAAAATGTGAAGGTAATGTACGTAGTTATTGACATTATAAAGAAGCTGTTGCCTGGTCACTCCAGATTCATGTGTACTGGATATGTATTACAACTTGGTGATGGTTGTCATGTTTTTAAAAAATGAAGGTTTGCAGCCCTCTTCCTTATTCCCCCCTCTTCTCTTTGGGCAGGAAAGGGGTGGGGGAGGGGTGTTCCCCCAGTGCCCCTTGGATCCACCTCTGTCAAAAATATATCAATCAACATATCTATCAAAATCTATCTTTCAAATATATTACCAAACATATCTGTATCAACCAGCTATATAGTATGAAGAATTGTATGAAGAAAGTCTGTTTGGAGAAACACTTGATTCTCATGTTGTTGTGTATTATTGTTTTCATACTACATGTATTTCTTTATACAGTAGGCTTGCAGGTGTACCATGTGAGAGAGAGGGAGGATTGAGGAGTCCTCAAAGCAAGCCTACTTTATATCTACATCACCATGCAAGCCAACATTTACAAGCAGCATGTATTTCTTTATTCTCAGTTTTCCATGTCCCATAATAGTTATGTACTTTATGCTATATGTATTTGTGTGTGATTACATGGACATAAAACATGTACAAATGCTGGAAATGTTTATTTTCTATATACATAGCATTCATTTTATATTCTCTCATGCAATGATTAATTTGATAATGTAATGAGATATTCCCATGTATCTTGTGTATGGAAATTTTTAAATAAATTAATGTTATGCAATATTAGCCATGTAATGTGATTATTGGCACCTTTCCCTACTTGCAATTTTTCCTTTCTTACACATAAACGATTTGTTTCCCCCCTGATATGATGAAGGAAGAATGTGTAGCAACCAATGAGCAGTATACCTTTAGTGGATGAATTACATAATGTATTTTTAAAGGGAGACTTGACAGTTTAATAAACGAAGGACTGAATGCCCAGAAGATCATGAGACTGAATTAGGCCGTCCACATATTGAAAGAGGAAGTATATAGTGAGTGAGGAACAGTGGGGAGATGATGGGGAGGCAAACAGAGAGAGAAAGAGAGAGAGAAAGAGGGATAGAAGCGGAGAGAGAGAGAGAGAGAGGAGCGGAGAGAAAGAGAGAGAAAGTGTGTGAGGGGGGGGGGGGGGGGGAGAAAGAGAGAGGGTGTGTGGCACGGATCCAGGTTTTCTTAGAGGGGGGGGGGGGGGCCCAATTTTTTTTTTTGCTCCTGCAAATTTGAATATCGCTTCGGCCGAAAATTCGCTCAGTGGGGGGGGGGGGGGGACACGTGCCCCCTGTGCCCCCCTAGATCTGCCACTGCTATAAATGTGTGAGAGAAAGAGAGAGAGAGAGAGAGAGATGGGATAGAAACAGATATGAAAACTAAAAGAATTGGAGCTAAGGGCATCAGAAGAAACAAGAAAACAGACATAAGTGACAGTGGAGTTATGAAGATTTGTGAATAAAAAAGTTTTTGAAATAAGTATGAGAAGAAGAGTACCGGTAGTGGGAAAATGAAATGAGAGGGACATGTGTTACCCCAAAGAATGCCATAGGTCTATACAAAAATCATTAAAAAAAATGTTATTTCTTTTGGAAGCATTGTATGTCTTGAATGATAAAAAGCAAGTTAAGCTAAAGAGGAAGAATATGAGGACTGGTTTTGTATATATTTTAAATAGATTATTTAAAATATATTTTTGTGTGCCTGCTTGGCATACCATGAATTGGAAAATTAAGCAAAGTTGAAAATGAATTTGACTTTCAGCATTCTTTGGCTTGCATGTAAAAGGCCTAAAATTCAACTATGACAATTAAACCTGTTTGAAAACAGCTGCCAAAACATTTGTTTCTCTTCTCTCAACTCTGTGGCTGAGAATTATTATTGCGTAATCGTCGAGCGAGCTAGCCTCGCGCATGCGCATATAGTTTCTACAACATTACCGGCTGACGTAATCCGCAATCTCATAACCAGTAACCTCGGAGATTTCCAACTATTATATTATTTTTGGACGCCAGCTAACAATATCAATCATGCCTAGAGGAGGAAGAAGTCGCGGAAGATCCTTTTCACCAGTTAGGTAAGTACTTTTGCCCAATAGTTGTAAGTATGGAAGGTAAACTAGTTCGACTTCGGATGTCGCAAGTGTCTGATTCTCGACCTTTCCATGTGGAACTCCAGGCGGCTGGTTAAGCGAGACTTGTGGAGCATTTCCTGCACGTGCAATGCTGAATGAGTGAACCTCAGTCCACGCATCCATGCCATGAATGTCATTATGAGCATCCATTGAGTCTTACCTCGAATTGAACCTGAAATACTCTCGTATTCTTGTATTGATGATGAATAGACTCTATTATTATTCCTGATATTCAAGAAAGTAAATGTGCAAAATTGCACCAAAATTTGAGCAAGAACATTAAATTTAGACAAGTCAGATTAACAAGTTAGGCTACTGTGAAATGAAAGTGAAACGTTGAGTTTAAAAGTCAGAATGTCTATTTCAATAGTTGTTTTCCAAGAAAAGAGTCCCGTCACTAACAGACACTGAAACTATCCTATTGTGTTAACTTATCCATTGTCATCGACACAAAGTTCCAAATATTTAAGTTGTATAGACCTACTGTGTATGGTGACTTTTATGAATGAAGTGAATCAAATGTTTTCTCAGTAGATCTAGATCTAAATTTTACTCTTTTGAATCTTTCTTGGTTTGTTTGCTTGATAAATAAATGTCTCAATAGCCTCTAACATTACTCTCAGAGACTGAAGTAAGTTACTAAGTGTCTAAGACCAAGAGACAAAATATGAAATGAAATAAATTAGAACAATCATGTATTTTTCTTTGTTAATGAGATAGATTCTTAAACTTTCTTGTCCTGTTTGGTCATGATCATGTATATTCTTGAACTTTCATACTTACTTACTTACATGTAGCCTACTTGGGTATACTTGGGTGTAGAGACTGGAAGCCTAGTTTATTTGTCCCTCTTTTCTGTTGCATCAGGGTATGTGAGTTGGTTGCATCCCGTCTCAAGTATGGTTCCAACTTAATTGGATTGTTTCTCTAATACCTTTCTAGGGATGACTTGAATTGGTTAATGGTGCCAGCATTAGGGACTTTTAGGTTTGCACGTCGACATAGTGGACTGCTACGTGTGACATCCTTTTAAGGCAATGTGACGTCCTTTTAAGGCACTGGCAGTGCACGGTAGTAGTCCACTACATCGGCGTGCAAATCTAAAAGTCCCATATGACCGCTTCCTGAGGCAGGGTATCCCAATTGTTTACACTCTTTATTGAGAAACTATAGGGCAATTCCACGGTAACGGAAGGACACTCAGACAAGATTTTTGAACTTCAGGTTCATACTAAAAGAACTGTTTTATTAGTATGTATTAAACTATGGGGAACAAAATGTGTTTCAGTCAAGTGGAAAGCTTCATCAACTTCACAGAGTTTGGAAAAAACTAATTAACTGGAAAAACCATGTCTATTTTTATGTCCTTCCGTTACCGAGATAATTAATATGCACATTCTTAAACTACTTAACTATAATGACAATTTTTTTGGGGAGAATTAAAGGCACTTATATAGGTATTATATCTGTACTGTTTCACATCTTATACTAATAAAACAGTTCTTTTAGTATGAACCTGAAGTTCAAAAATCTTGTCTGAGCGTCCTTCCGTTACCGTGGAATTGCCCTATACTGCCTAAGTCTTGCATTGAAACGTTGCTTGACAATCTTGAAATTATGGCCTCTTGTTGTTGAGCCAGTGGCTAGTTGGAAGAATTTTGAGGGATTTACTGTGTCAAAGCCTCTCAGGATATTGAATATCTGTATCTGGTCTGCTCTTTGTCTTCTGTACCGGTAAGCCAAAGTAGGTATTTGTAGTTCTCTAAATCTGTCTGGGTATGCTTCATGTTGTTATTTTTATTTCTTTATTTTAGGGCTGCACCGCCCAGGACAATGTCCCCTGCCCCCCAGAGAGCCCCCGTGCCAGCTCAGCAGCCAGCCACAGCTATGGGCCAATCAAGAGGGCCAGGACTTATGGGTCAGATGGCAGCTACTGCTGGGGGTGTAGCCATCGGATCAGCATTGGTAAGTGAACACTAATCAAATTTTAACATAAACAGGCTATCCCTTTTGAAGCTGTCTAGTACAGTGCTCTCTGTCTCATACTAAAAGGGTCATTCAGAATTTCAGATATAATTCAATTCAATTTGTTTCTATTTTATTTACAACAGAAAGATAAACAAAGGTATTACAGATATTGTTAGAGAAAGTATGAAAAAAATGTACATGTATGTACTGGAACATATTCATTTTTCTTGGTAACTATACAAATACACTTTACACATAATACAATTATTACAAGAAATTCTTAATTCTGAGGAAATGGGGGGGGGGGGGGATCCACTAAAAAGCAGTATTTGTAGTTTGTGGATCCTGCTGCGAAAAAGAACCCCTTCATAAAAGTGCTGTTTTTTTTTAAATCTTTAAATGAATGGCAACTGCATTACTGCACACAACCAAGATCCTGTGAGTCTTCACATCTGCTTGAGCAAACACCAACTCACAAAACTTAGGTCCCCTAAATCAGATCTCATCCTTTCTTTGTGGCCTTTCACCATGACAGGGTCATGCCGTCGGACATGCTATGACCGGTAGTGGTAGCAGCCAGCAACCCGATGTCACCTACCAAGAGCAGCCGCAACAGCAACAGCAGCAACAACAGAACCCTTGCCACTATGAGATTCAGAAATTCATGCAGTGTGCCGAAACCCAGAATGATCTCAGCTATTGTGACGCATTCAACATGGTTCTCAAAGATTGCAAGAGAGCGAATGGTAAGGATTACGTCATTCGATTGGGCATGATAATTTTCCTACTGTTTTTCCATTGAAGGCAATTTCCTTTCCATTTAGAATTTATTTTCAATGGGTTATAGTAATTCATTTTCTTGGACATAGTGCCTAAGGATGGCAAGAGAGCAAACAATAAAGATTATTGATGTTTGATGAGCAAGCTACTTTAAAGCTAAATAGAGTGTTATGGAACTTAATTCTTCAAGTAATTGGGCTGTGTAGTACTCTATTCTAAGTATAAACAGAAAAAAAATCACTGAAAAATACAACTCGTGTTTCCTCTCCAAATTGGTAGCGATATACATCTTAATTGCTTGCAGCGAGGAGCCATTAAACGGAAGTACAAGCATTATGCTTCCAAGGTTTCCTCCTCATTACTGCAGATTATTGTTAACATCATTTGTATTTAATGACTTGCCATTAAATCATTTTTTTTTTTTATGTTGTATCTATCAAATATTATGTACATGTTTTGTTACCATGTATAGGTAACCATGTATAGGTAACTTTGAAAATTCTTTTCATATGCAGTTAATGTGGAAATAAAACCTAAATAAAATAACAAATAAAAATAGATGGTTTATTATGGACAGAGTTTAATAGGAGTACGAGCTTGATTTCAGTTTATTTGTTTATTTACCTCTCAACTATTCTACTTTTTCTACCAAAATTGCTTGGTAGACACAACTTTATTTATACTATCACTCAAATTTATTTGTACTCTCAGATAGTGTCAGTTACAATAGATTTGATGCTCGCTTCCAAATAATTCACCTATGTCTTTGTTGCTTTTGTTTCCACCTTTACCTTTCTCTCCACTATAGGTTTGGCATAACAGCAGATGATCATACACTTTTCTATTTTCTTTAATCGTCCGATGTCTGGCCTCTGCCCACTGCAGCTTTTACAACAGATGAAATGGATTATTCTACCAAAATTTACTTTAATATCAAATGGGATTTGAATCAAAGTTTTCTGAAATGTTTTCATTAATAAAGCCGACAATCTAATGGTGCATACCGTACATTATAGAATCTCTAGAATGAAATATATGATGTGTTCATAATTGAAGTTTTCAATGTTGCAAATCAGTTAATTCAACCATGTCTGTACAAGGAATTGCATGATGAATGATGAGCCTTATGTAGTGATATACACAGGCATCTTTATCTCAGTAAGTGAACAGACATTTATGAGAGATATTTGGAGTGTTCCACCATATATCTAAATGTACATGTATTCAGTTTAGAATTCAGGTGAAAATGCTTGCCGAGTCTCTCTCATAGGTTATACAAATTATTTGTTTGTGTGTGTGTCAAACTTAAGTTTTACGGTTTTACCGTAGAAATGAATCATTTATGAGATGTTCATTATTATTGTTCCAAATTATGAAAGGAACAGCATTACTTAAGAAATAGGAAACCTCATTTATTCTGCCGTGCAGTGCTGCGTTTCGTCAAAAGTATCATCGCCTTCTTTAAAGTTCTTGATCGAGTGATTGCCTAATTCATGATAAAGCCAAGAAACAGCATTTTTCTTAAGAAAATAGGTAAACATCAGTAGAAATATTCTATTCAAGTTTATGCCTGATTTCATGGATTGTTGTTGCGACTGAAATTGTTGAACTCCTCATATTGCTTTATGGATCATTGAATAGGTTAGAAGAGGGTTATAGTATATCATGTATTTATTTCATTATCTCAGGTGCACATTAAGAACAAAGTTCACCTGAGAATTTGGAATACATATATACAACAAAATTAGATTGAGATGTGCCACTCACCAAACTGATCTCCTTTGGCTTTTAACCAAATAATTTAGAAAGAAATTCAGCATTTTTGTTCATTTTGAGTGAAATGTTATCATATGCATGACTCCTTGCGATACATTGCCTAGGGAAAGATGGTCAGACATTTTGGGGGATATTTGTGAGCTGAAAATGAAAATATGTTATTGGATTGTTGCAGCAATATTATGTGTGTTCTATTGATTTTATCCTGCGAGTATGGCATTCTTGGACATAAAAGAAAGTATCAACAGTATTTTATTATTGTACATCGATATGAATGTGAAAATAAATATGTTTGACATGACATGGCCTGTAGCATTTCTTTCTTCTTAAAGGCACACTGTCCTACTTGTATCTTCTTGCTCCCTCTATATAGAAAACTTCCCCAATCGGTGCCTGTTCGTCCCCCATGATCCTCTTTTTCTTATGTTAAATGAGAGCTGAGTTAATGAGATAGCCACCTGTCACAGTGACCTTGCTGGCTCGCTGTGTGGTCTAATCCCTTCTGGCTGAAGTAGTAAAGCCTCCCTTTAAGGTATACATGTATGTGATGAAGGGAAATAGAAAATGGAGAGCGAGGGAGAATTGCATTGTGAAAGAAACGGTGTGGAATCGACCAGAAAAGGTTGATCATCTAGCATATAAGAAAAATGTGTGTATTGCAAGGTTCTGGAATCATCAAAATGATAAGAAATTTGGCCAAGTCTTGGTGAAGTTACAAACACTGTACACAGAAAGGTGTATATGGGACTACACGAACACGTGGCGTAAAAATCCTACCCCCGAGTTTTACGATGTTACATGACATATTTAGAATATAAAGGCATTTGATGAGCCATGCTTTTCAGGGAACATGTCTTATCTGATGTTCTTCCACACTTGCATAATAAGAATGATAACGCTCACAAATTATCTTTTACCTCTTCCCAGAACTCAACCTTCTCTTTAAAGGGAAAGATATTGAAGATATTTTTACCGGTATATGAATGTATATGAATGAGAGGGAAGTATGAACTAACAGATATGGCAATATGGGAACGGGAAGGGAAAGAGTAGGGCGAGCAATGATGAGGAAGAGGGCGAGATAAGATGTGGATCTTACAAGGACGACAATGAGGGGGAAATGATTGGAAAGGCTAAAAGGATTAAAGAAAAAGCAATGTGAAACTTGAAAGGATCCCATGCATAAGAAATCAATGACACAGAAGGATAGATTTCAGGAGATATGTTAACCTAGAAGTAAAAGAATATTTGGTATTTGGAGAATTATTTAAAAAAAGATGAAATTAATCAAATGAAACTGTGATGATGAAGCTCGTAGTATAAGATGAATAAGAGAAAAAGAACAGTTCAAGCCCATTTTCTTTATGGACAATTCCCAAATGCTCGTTGTGTGAACGTCAAAGTGCCTCGTTAGCAAAAATAATTTGTCTTTGATGTAAATTCCCAGAAAACTGTATGGGCTTTTAAGGAACTAGTTTTATACCATCATTTATCTAGAATAGATGTATCAATAGATGTACAATGCAGACAAAAGGTACCTTTCTTGAAGGTACGGTGTATTTCTGATATTTAAAAAGAAATGTAAAACTCTAACTTAAAAACTATGTTTTTATCGATTCCATGACATTTGCTCCGGCGACAATTGCTCCGCTGTAAATTTCATACACTAATCGAATGGCTAACTTCAACCCTGGATTCAACACTATACCCTACCCTAAACCTAACCCTAAACCTAACATAAAACCCTATTGAAACCCTAACCCTAACCCTACATCTTAGACGAAATAAAGCCCGGAGCAATTGTCGCAGGAGCAAATGTCGTGTCACCTTTTTATCATATTGCAACATCCAACTCAAAAAATGCACACAAACAAAATTTCATATTAAAAATATATTAATATTTATTCCACTAGCTTCAAAACTAGGTGATGTGGTCTTTCTATACCAAAAATGTAAAAACAGTAGGGCGGTATTTGAAATGATGGAATTGGCTACCCTAAAATATTCAACCATTTTTTTGGTGATCGATTATTTTCATAATACAGTTATATGGAGTCTATTCTTTTACTTCTGAATATATCAAAGCATAACTAATACCGAACACACACAGTCAATTAGTCTTAAGGTTTAATTCAAATGAGGGTAACATATTCAAATATGATGGGGCAGACTCTCCCTTTAAAGGGTCATATAGTTATGGTAAATCCTCAAAAGATTGTTCGCCAGATTTCTTTTTGACTTACAGTGACTGTTGAATATCAATATACTAGCCGTACTGAGATGCTGTGAGGTGTTTCTCTCCTCAAGTGGTAATTAAACAAATGAGAGGAAAATGAGTGGTCTGACACACACATAGAATTTCTTTTTTTAAGTCCGATCATCTGGGCACACATGTTGTCCCATGGTGTTTCATATTAATGAGTCCAGACTAAAAAAACTTTCTATCTTTCTCTCCTTCAATGCAATCCATCTATTCTTCCCCTTCCTGTATTTCTTCTTCTGTGCCTTCTTCTTCCTGTTAACCTGGAGAGATGGATGCGATCACATGCATGAAGAGCTTTCATAGAACATCTTCTTCAACTTACACTTTTTCTTGTAAGTTTGAGGTGACCATCTTTAAAAATCCTTCCTGTCTTTCCTTCTATCATTTCTACCAGTTCAACTTCATTTTGTCCTCTTTGTAAGATGGATATATTAAATCACTTTAGATGAAAGCCTTGGTTTATCCTTCCTCTCCTTCTTCTCCTTCTGCACCTTCTTCTTCCTGCTCTCCTGGTAACATGGAGGTGATTACTTTGATGAGAGACTCCATCTGATCCTCTGACAAGCGCTCTTCGCATTCCTCTACCATCTGAAGAAAGTAAAGAAGTTTAGTTTCATTATTTATTTCTTCTTCTCATTTACCTTATGTCTCCTCTTTTATCATTGGAATGTGGCATTTTAAGCAAAAAATATACATGATGTTGACTTGACTTGCACTCTACACGACTAAAATGCCTTACAAATGTGCATCTGTTTCAACAAATATAATAATGGAACTGGGTGGAATTTCAAACTGGTGTGTAACAAGTTTGAAGTCCTTACTAGTATGCAGTTTTACTACATAAATGATAGTAATGTGATGGAAATAACTTCCACACACTTAATGCAATAGCATTGAATCAGGACATCTGTGAGTATACATGTCTAATATGTAAATAAATCAATACCGCTAATGTAAATGTACTTTACAGCAACAAATGATCAAAAGGGATTAAATGCAGGCACAATGTTTACAATTCTTACAATGGCCAGGGTAACAACAATTCTTTGATTGTGCTTAATAAACACACAACAAGATAGATTTAGGTGCACAGAAACACTTTTACATCTACTATAACGAATTGGAAAAGAAAAACTTACTGCCATTATTTCTACTGAGGTACTTGGTCTGTGATTAAGAAGTTGCAGTTTTTCAGATCTGTAAAGAAGAAATGAATTACAAATGGTACGAATTATCACTTGGTTTGTATGTTCTTGGCATGTATTCCTATTCTTCTGTTTTCTTTCTTTACTCTTTACTTTATATCTTTTCCCATTATTCACATACTGCAAATATTGAATAGTGCATCATGGTGTGTTTCAGCGCTGTTTCGTATTCACTTTACGCTAGAGGCATATGCATATGACACTCTTGCAAAACAAAATTAAAATCACAAGTCTGTTTTTCAGTCAACTCGTGAAGAAAACAAGTTTCTTAGATATTCAAACAAAAAACCTAATGAACTCAGGAAAAAAATCAGATTAGCTTATAGATTGGGGGAAAAAATTACTTGGTTGTTTCTCTTCAGTGTGTGTCATGGTCAACCTGTTAAAGGCATCGTTTAACATTGTTAAATATGAGATGCATGGCCCTACGTGTTATCAGTGTCACTGTCAGTGATATGGTCTAATATTGAAGCCCCCTAAAAAAAGTTGAGTGACCTGTTTTACCATACTCATTTTCCCCAAGAGACTGTCGTGTTATAAAAACGGTTAGGAAAATGAAAAAGAAATTTTTATTTCCAATCATAAATATCTTGATAATCAGACAGGCGATCGGCTTGTAAAAGTCATGGGGTTCCTGACTGACCTAAAGGTTTATAATTATGATTGCAGGATGAGCTCATTAAATCCAGGATTTTGTTTCAGAAGCTGAGGCAAAGTTACAGAGTCACTTTAATCACTGAAGCCTCAAATATTTTGATGACAAACCCAAATATATTAGGAAAAACCCGCTGGAAATTTGAGATGACTGAAAATAGAATAATTTCCAACAGGTTAGTTTTCCTTCTTACTTTGTGAGATTGTAGGGAGCGAGAGCTTGGAGGAACTTCTCTACGACCTCAGGAGTTTGAAGTCCACATGGAGTATTCTCAAGGTATTTGATTGTCTGTAAAGAGAAGAATGAAACATATGCTTAACTTGTTGCATCCAGTAACCAGAGGGCTCCGGTATCAGCCCTATGGGAATGTGAGAATCTAGTATTCAATGGGTTAACTCTATAAAGTAAAATGCAATGAATTAAAACCCTTTTGGCTCTCAACAGACAAAAAACATATACAAAAAACCTGCAACGACAACTGAACATTACTTTCTTCTTATTTAACTACTGTGGCGTAACCGGGCTCTGCCGGGGTAGCGTTCTGCCTTGCAGTCTCTCAAAACCCGGTCCACGCTCTCGACAATCATTCATCAACTATATCTCTCGGTGGGCTCTCACATAATTATATCGTGTAAGAATAACGTGGACTATAGCTCTCATTTTACTGACTCCCGCAATCACTGAATGTCTGACAGGAACTCAAGAAACAACACCGTCGCACAGTATCTGCAGTTCAAGTATTTTTACTAGTTCCTGGTAACGGACCTGCGGCAACGACAGGTCAATGCTGACTCACAGATCACAACTAACAGAACCTGTCTCAACGACAGCTCAATGCTGACTGACTGACATCTCACGATGTACACATATATATTTCACAATTAACTATAACGCCCTCTATGTCCTACTAAATTACTGGGCTAGTTATGCTACACTACCATAGATTTCTGCTCAACCAGTAATCAGCTCATCAAAATTCTTTTTTGTTGATGCATAGAGAAAGATGAGAGATTTTTTATCCCACTAAACTGAAACTCACAAAAACAGCAGAAGTGATAATATAAACTTTATTTATTTCTTTGGCATAATTATTATTACTACTGAAATCTTTGAAATACTACTAGGTTTTGTCTCTTCTTTGCAATTTGTCATGCTTCTGGGGGAACAATGAGCATGTATAGACAAATTCGAAACATGCAAGAAAATTAAAACATAGAAAAGGTTTGCCAAAATGCAATAATCCATAACTCACTACAAATAAAGAGAACCAAACTAAAGGCGTAACTCATATTTGTCTTGCTAACTTCTACTTTTTCTTCTTCTAGTTTTAGACAATCAAATTAAAAAGTGTATTATATACCTCATAGGATATGGTGGCAAGGTTCTGCTTTTTTTTGCTGATGCTCTTCTTCCCTCTCTGAGAGCTCCCTGCCTGTAATTCTTTGAGCAGAGCATGCACCTGAAAAGAAAGAAAGTCCATTAAGTGGAGGTCAAAGGTCATAAGATAATATGTCTTGGCCTTTGGCTTGAGAAGAGGGTTAAAAGACCTCGCCTAAATAGCTTAGCTTAGGGTAGGGCTGAAAAATCTGGCAACTTCGTAATCCAATGTGAATTATTTTGGCAACGTGCTTTCATAACTATTATTAAGACTCATAAGAGTCTAAACTCTACATGCAAGACCAGCTAATTGTCACCAAATTGTATACAGCCCCGGGGTAAACTTAAGTTACATACCTCATAGTTGCTCAGCATAGCAGCACTTTCTTTAACCCTGTGAACAAGAGAAGAGTAAAATGTTGGTTATTTAAAAAATTTCTTCAGAATTCAGTGCTTATGACTAAAATATGTTTCACTAATCTCTCAGAAGACGGAGGAGGAGGAGGAGGAGGAGGAGGAGGAGGAGGAGGAGGAGGAGGAGGAGGAGGAGGAGAAGGAGGAGGAGGAGGAGGAGGAGGAGGAGGGGGAGGGGGAGGAGGGGGGGGAGGAGAGGGAGGGGGAGGGGGAGGAGAGGGAGGGGGAGGGGGAGGAGGGGGAGGGGGAGGAGGAGGAGGGGGAGGGGGAGGGGGAGGGGGAGGGGGAGGAGGGGGAGGGGGAGGAGGGGGAGGGGGAGGAGGGGGAGGGGGAGGGGGGAGGGGGAGGAGGGGGAGGGGGAGGAGGGGGAGGGGGAGGAGGGGGAGGGGGAGGGGGAGGAGGGGGAGGGGGAGGAGGGGGAGGGGAGGGGGAGGAGGAGAAAGACTAAGAGTAAGACTAGAGTTCTCCATCATCATCATCATCGACAATGGAGGAGAAGAAGAAGAAGAAGGAGGAGGAGGAGGAGGAGGAGGAGGAGAAGGAGGAGAAGTAAGAGGGGAAGTAAGAGGAGAAGTAAAAGGAGAAGTAAAAGGAGAAGAAATTATACAACAATCGACTCATCGGATCATTCAGCAGCTCATCGAATTCCACTTTTGACCGATTTGTAACCCAGTATTGGCAGTAAAATCAAGACAAATGACGGTTGCTTCAACTCACTAACATATACTATTAATAATTGGCGCTAGTGTAGCAAGGTATCCAAAATATAGCCTACTAAATTTCAGACCCCAAATTTTGTGGTCATCATTACCCTAACCCTAACCCTAACCCTAACCCTAACCCTAGACTAGAGATAATGATAAACACGAAATTTGGGGTCAAAAAATTGAGGTCTGTTTTAGTAGGCTATATTTTGGATACCTTGCTACACTAGCGCCTAATAATTTAACTACATGGTAACATAAAATACAACCATATACCTGAACAGACAATTAAATTCAATGGAAAATAGATTCAAAATACTTACACCTCCATTGCAGCCTTTGTAAACCCGTATTTACTACCTGTTCAGTTCATATCAGTCCCAAAGCTTTATTTTTGTGTAAGTGAATCTGGTAGTATGGTATCTTTGAATTATAAGCTACATGGACATTTGTCACTTACTTTTTTCAATATCAAAAGCGGAGATTTTGGGGACAAGAAAATTAATGCGGGTAGTGGCGGATCCAGGATTCTCAGGCCAGGGGGGGGGGGGGGGGGGGGGGGGGGGGGGAGTGGGAGGGAGATCCTAAAATTCTATGACAAACACAGAAATGAAATAAGAAAAAAAAAGTTTCCTCTTTACTTTCTATCTTCACACCTCCCGTTTCCCTGTTTTCGTTCTTCCTCCCCCTGTCCATTTTCTCCTGCCGTCCCATCTCCCGCGTTTTGGCTGGGAGAAGGAGGACACATGCCCCATCTGATATATGTGCCCCTGGATCTGCTTCTAGTTGGGAGCGGGTTGCATGTAGCATCTGACATAGTCTAGGCCTATCTGATAACAGGAAAATCTTGATATCTGGTTTAATATTGAAAGTGTCATAATTTTTTTATTTTAAATTAATTTCTCCGACTGGTTTCTATTTTGATGAAGGTCTCATAGTTTCCCGTTCTTGATTGATTTCTGTTGTCATTTTAAATTTCCAATTTTTATAGACTTTTTCTGTCTTTACTTGCATCTGTTTCTGTTCCATCTTTTTGTAATTAGGACCTATTAGATGTTTTACCCTTTACCCGGGATGTTTTATATGATTTTTAAACATTAGTGATAGTGAGTAACAATCCAGCCGTGATGGCTGCGAATATTGAAAATGAAATAAATACTGAATCTTAAATCTTTTTCTAAGAGCATAATTGTGTAGCCTAATAATGCTCTCACTTTAGAAGGCCAGAAACTTAGCTTTATAGCATATATATCCGTCTCAACTCAAGTCTCAATCAACCTGTAATACAAATTGCTCTTGTTTGTATGTCTCACCTCCCTGGTACAATAGCCTACGATTGATTAATAATATTATTGTTAATTTGATTGAGGGGACCATGTTTTAGTTCGGAGGGGGATCGGAAAGGAAACCGATGAAATTATTTAAAAAAATATATTGAGGGGAGGGGGGGGGGCTTGGATGCATGTCTGATAATAAGGGGCGTTGAGTACAAAAGTGAGTAATGTAGAAAAAACTTGCACAACATATTATACTTTAAAAAAAAAATGTTTAAAGTTGTAGCCTACTTGTAACGAGGACTGTCAACAAAGATTGATTTATTCGGGTAGATTTATGTCACGGGCTAGGGTCGCTGACCGCAGGCGCGCTGCGTGCTATGCTCACACACCCGCGCGCCCACGTGGCCGCGCCGACTGCACTGTCAGCTAGCTGGTTGCGGTACGAAAATTTATAGACTGAACCAGTTCGCTGACAACATTTTACGTCCTTGCAGAATCAAAGAGGTTTTCACAAAGTGGCCACAAAATAAGCAACAGCGATTTTATTGTTCTTGTGGATTTCTCACTCACTTGACTGAATTAAAGGTTACTTTGTCAAGGAAATCGGTTCAGTGCTCCTGAATCTCGCGCCAAAGTTATTTGCCGCAGCAGGAGTGGGCGGATTGGATATCTACGTCACGGTACATCTCCCGGGTCAGTGAGGCGGAGGTGAGCTTCGAGTTTCCGCTGAACACATGTAGCGCACTCGCATCTCCCGTGTGTTTACTACTACAGACTAAGTACAGCATGTACGAGAGCGATATGAGTACTACCAGTGCAGGTGGCAGTGCAAGCTCGAGTTCCATTGAACCCAACAGTACTTCGAGTGCCAGTGCAAGCTTATCATCCGCTGGAACGTTATCAAGTATGGAGACTATTCCAACTCAGGAGGTTGCTGAAGGAGATTTTGATTTTGCAGAGGAGAGAGTTGTTGTATGGGGTCGTCTGTATCCTGTTGGAAAATGTTTCTCAAGTATTGGTGAGATTTGAGAATTAAAAAATGGTTGATTTCCAATTGTAAATTGGTTTGATGAGGGATGAGTTCCAGTTTCAGTTTTGATTCTATGTTGATAATAATTATTAATAGCACAGAGACTGAGAGGCAGTGTGCCCATTACTTATATTATATGAAAATTAATTAGCTCAGGAATTATTGAAATATACAATTCAATTACCTGAATCTCATTTACATGTGACATTTATCTTTACTTTTCCATCAATTTCTGTTTGATTCTGATTTTTTCTAGTTGACATTGTTGAATTTGCATTTGTTTCAATCGATAGCTAAGCAAATCATACAAAATTTATCTTTTCTTTTCATTGCCTCTCTCACCCCCTTCTCTCTTTCTCTCATTTTACATATAATGAATTGTCTCATTAGAAATATAAGTTTAACTTTAAGTTCACAAGCTCTCCGCTGAAACATGTTAATTTGTTAATAACATTGCATTTGCCATTTCAATGTGGTGTCCATGAAGTTAGACTCAGCATTTCATGACAGAGTTATGAGTAGCTTTTCATGAAGATTAGCAACTTGTATGCGGACATGTTTCTCTTTTGAAGAGAGAGAGAATAATAACTTGAAGCGTTGAAGAGCTGATCATTTGTTTGCCCCTTGTTATGAATCTTGCAGATTTCTTAGACACAAAGGATGAATATATATTTGGCAGAGATCCATCTTGTGATGTTTGCTACAACGGCCCGGAAATAAGCAAGAATCCTTGCTATCAGACTCTCAGTAAAACACACTTCAGGATATTCAAGGTGAGAATATTTATCTTTGACAAGTACAATGGACATCATCTGTATTCACCTGTATTTTCGGGCTGCTTAGTAAGACAATGTCTTGTAATGCCCTCCCATAGTTCATCAGTACACCACTGCAAAGAGTGAAACCTGTCTATAAAGACCACCTCAGGAGAAAGGAGACAAGAAAATTGGTCTTTTTGCACAAGTAGCTTTTGTACACAGGTTCTAACTTCCTTCACTCCTTCAGTACATGTTTTGATGAGAAACCATTTTCAAGGGAAACAAAAAATGATATTTTTCTATACAGGTGGGTGCGCTAAACCAGGTTTGACTGTAGATAGTTCAAACGATTGAGGTACATGTACACGTATGTGTATTTTGTATCATAAAAGGGTGTTGAATTAATGAACCTTCACACTTTCAGTTTCACAATAAGAAGTTGTGAGAAATTGTGAAATATGAAAGATGAGAAATAAACAATAATATTGTAGAGACAATACACATATGACGTATGGCTTTGTGAGTTGTGACATTTTCAGAAAATTTTGATAATGATAGCCAAGTAGTAAGGGTATCCTTTTTTGCTGTGCATGTTTTATATGCATTATTATTTCCAAATAAAAGGAGTACTGTATACCTGCAGGGAATAATTTTCCTCAAATATTTTGATTAGCAATTTCAGCTGATGGATAAATATTTCAAATGAAATTCTGTACATTTCTATGGAAGAAAACTGCTACACAAACAATATTTTGTATAGCAGTCATGCAAAAATGCATAGCAAATTGCGATGCGATACCAGGAAAATTATTCCCTGTACCTGATACGTGTACTGTGATGATGCGGGACCATTTGAGGTCTAATTTAATGACATTTTTATTTTTGTATTCTATATATTATAATAAATATTAATAATTAATTATTACTGTACATATTACATGTAAATGTTAATGTTGGGATGTTAGCATTTAGGTTTTGTAGTATAATTTGTTTACATGGAACTGTGGAACTTTGAGACGGTGAACATTATGTCACATTCCACATCCCAATGCTTGATAAAAGACTGTATGATGTAATGGTAGAAGATGATTTACAACTCAACTGAGGTAGACTGGCAGACACATTTTCGAGATGCCGTTATTGCTGTCACATTACTTTACATGTACATGAAGTTTTATGTTGTTGTTTTTTGTTCAGGAATCAAATGACAATTGCAATTTCTACTTCATCGAAGACAAAAGCTCAAATGGCACCTTTGTGAATGGAGAAAAAATAGGTAAGAATAAGAAATTTTACAGTGCAGATTTATATTTAAAAAAAAAGAAGCTTAAGTAAGGCCGTTTTCAACACGATTTTCTGAAAAAATTAGTGATAATTAGTGATAAAATGCATTCAACGTGATTACATGTGACCAGCTTAAAATTGCACATGTAGTTTCATGAAGTTTCATGAATTTATAAATCACTGTCAGTCCAGAGTAATTTTTAAAATTTTGAAATGAATACTATTTAAGCAAACTAGTAGATTAAATATTTGTTAATACTAAAATCGAATTTTTAGATAATAAGAGTGCACAAGTTTGTTTGTCTTGCCTTTCAGGCAATGTTATACCGTGAGCATTTGGGCAATTTGAATGTCACTGTCCTGTGAAATGTAGTTGCATTAATTGTGATATGCGACAGCACACACAACACTACCAACTCATTATCTCATGTGCTATCACTGCAGTTCCAAAAGCATGATGCTGCTAGATTTTTTTCTGGAATTCCTTGCAAGCATGTCTCAAACTTCCTATATTTTTACGAATAACTTTTTAGGTTGAAAATAGAGTAAAGGTTCCTTATTCATCCAGATGTTTGATGCTGTTATTTTGTTGAGATCTCAATCTCCTTATTAACCATTTATAATATTATTCACAATCAAGTTTTTTTTAAATGTCACATAACTTCCATGATGACATCAGCTGTGTGTAACTTTTTCTGCCATTTTTTTCAACTTTTTAAGGTAAAGGAAAGAAACAAGTTCTAAACAACAATGATGAGATTGCTCTCTCATTATCCAAAAACAAAGGTAGGTGGATGGTATATTTTCTTCTTTTACTCCTTATTTTTGGTTTTGTTGTGCGTGTACTTTTTCATTTATTTTTAGAGCATTACATGATTGAAATAATGGAAGTATTGCAGTGTGTTCTTTAATGAGAATATATAATAATAATAGTAGTTGGTTCTTGTATAGCGCCCATGTCTGTCAGACTTGACACTCCTGGCGCTCCCGATTATTACCCTGGCTTTAGCACGGCTGCCATTGCTGCGC